TGATGACCCCAAAAATACAAAGAGAACATGGTTGGACAGGAAAAACACATTTATAGGCCAACAAGGAAATGTGCTATTGTTTTCTTTCTTGTTTTTTTCAGCAAAAGAAGAAATTTCTGTAATTTCTGACATTTTTCATATATTGATATATCCTTTAAAGCTATATGCTAACAAAACAGACACATAAATATATCCGTCATGACGCATCACTAACATAAAGCTCCTCTTAAAGTCTGACCCAAAATAATTTGGATGCAGGATGGACTGGATTTTATCGTGACTTCACAGTGATGTTTTGACATTTTATTATATTTTTCCTGTCATATTCCTTTAAGGGCTTGTAGCTTTGCAGTGATATTTGTATTATTAATGTACAATAGGATTACTGTCCTGTGGTCGCCTTTACGCATGAGTGAAAGCCTATTGAAGGATGGTGCAGATCTGTAACACAATGTGAGCGCAAAATCCAGTCAGTATTTAAAATCTATACGCGCAAACACATCATGTTCTTTTTTACAAGTTAGCGTGCGCAAAATAACAAGCTTATACTGGTGATTTTTTTTTTCTTAATCTATACCTACATGACGGCAAACAAGCAACGACACGGAAATAGTCTTCAAAATATCCAACTAACCACTCAATGACAGATCATAGGAATGAAATTACAAATAACCAGAGGAAAAACAAATAATGATAGACATCGGAGAAATATTCATCACTGTGGTAACGTGTTTGGACGTTTCACTGAAAAACTCGAATTTGTATTTGCGTTGATGTGGACATTTCATTTCGGGAGAGGAGGTGGACTTTTTTTTTTTTTTTTTTTTAATCGGAGAAGTAAATGAAAGCATTCACATATTGAGCCAACCGACAAATTTAAAACGCTGCAAGACAGCAGACTGCTGCACCTGCTCACAAAGAAAAATTACTTTTAAACGACCTTATTTGTTTCTGTCACTGGCTCCTCATCCGATGAATAAAAATAATTATTAAATTATAATAAATTGTTCAAACAGAGTCTGTATTGATATCGGCATAAGTCCTTATAAGAATACTTCAATAACAATATTATTAAAGGCCTGTTCGGTCACTATTAGCTACCTGTAGAATATCACAGAAAAAGTAGAAGGAATTTCTATTGATTGTGTCGATACATAACTAAATATATAATATGAACATATATAAATAATGCACACATAAAAACGTTCTCCTTAATAAGATTATTCTGTTGCTGGTTTGCTTTTATTTATTAGGACGGTTTGTCAATTTAATTTATTTAAGTACAGTCTTTTATAGGGCGCCTGTCTTAAATTAGCATTTTTCATCTAAAGGCTTAAGCCGATATTCATATGTCTTCCTCCTGATCATCACTGGCCGGAGGTCTTATATTTGAGGCACCTTTTGGAATATTTCCTCCCGCATTTGCGTGCGTCTCCGCGTTTCCTAAAGCCCCGCAGAGAGAGGGGACACCCCGGGCCCTCTGCTGTCAGCGGTCAGCTGCTCACTTCCTCTCCTTCTTACTCGGGGATTTGGACTAATATTTAGATAGGATTGGGTTTTATACGTGGAGTGCGTCGCCTTGGTCCCCACAGCTCCAGTCACGCAACATGAATGTGAAAATCATTGTTTTTATGATCAGAGGAATAAGCTGTGATTTATTATCTGTTAAATGATGTGAGCGTGTAATTAATAATTTTATCGGCCTGATTGCGGCACAGACAGGCTCATTAAATTTAAGACTGGAGGAATAAATACCCCCGCGACATGAGCGTAAAAACATCAAAGGAGATGTTGTGGTGTTTTATTGTGTGTCTGGGAGAGATGAGAGAGCGCGCCCACAGGTCCTGGCTGATACACCGATGAAATAATCACATCTCTGTTTACTAATAACACAAAAACAGCAGCCACCGAGCCTTGACGTGGGATCTGTGCTATTTAATGAGGCATGGGCAGGAGTTTTTAGTTTGCTGATTTGTCATGTTACCACAACAGGACACACAGGACCACACAAGCCTTTCTTACGTGACGCACAGAAGCAACCAACACTCGTGGAGACGGCCAACGAGAATAAAGAAGATGCGCGCTGTGTGACTGAATCATGGTCCAAATGTGTCAGAACAAGTGTTCCTCAGGCTGAATTACAATCTCACCGATGTTTTTTTGTAATATACTCATGGGTAATAGTTTATGCGCTGTTCGAGCGCGTAAAAGCGCACACCAGATGGCACCGAGGATCTCCAGGTTTGCCTTCCGTTGGCCTCTGCCACCTTTGAGCAGTATCCTGTCAGGTAACTTCATATCGAGTCTCACGGTGCCATCTGGAAACCAGATCTCTGGTGCAGGGATATTAGAGTTTCAATTAGAAAAGAGAGAATGCCGCATTGTTCTGATAAGTACTATATGTTCCTGTGTCAAAATAACTGTCCAAAAAAGTGCAACAAAAATGTAAAACATCAAAATAAAAATGGTAAAAATTGTAAAATCATTAATGAAACCTACCAGCGTCACTGCATCAATTTTAATTCGCATAATGGAGAGAATACCGTGGCGCAATTTAAAGCCACATTTTCTTTTGCGTTGAACTAATTAGTCATAAAAGACACAAACCAAACAAAATGCCGCAGTTGATAATGTCGCATGTCTCCACATCAGCAGGGCCACTAGTCGTAGCTCTACATGGACAGTTTGACTACGTGTGGACAACAAATGCTGCCATTTTATCAAAGAAGTTCTCCTAAAAATGTAAACCAAATGGTGAAGTTTATCAAATATAAAAAGACATCGGTTCAGTGGGAACTTATGACAAACCAGTGCCAAATCACCAAATCCAAATTAGTTTTATTGCACATGGACAACATAAGAAGGTTTAAATTTAAAATTTTTTTAAAGGTTTTGTAACAGAAATGATGAGTCTCGTATCCTCTGTGTGGCCTCAACTGTAAATAATGTCAACATCATCACATTTTCAGTAACAGTGGTGTGATTTTAAATGGACACACGAGCAGCAGCCACAGAGAAACGCTGCGTACAGTACGTCCACTCTGGTCTGCATCCATCAGTCAGTGAACAGAGAAACGGTGTTCAGGCCTGTATCCTCTAATCAGTGAGAGCTGTTCACATACTTTGCTCACTTTGTCCAGTTGTTGTCAGGTTTGCGCCTCGTGTTCTGAACTCTTCAGGATAGTGTGCAGTGAACGGAATTCTTCAGAGGAGGGATGTTTTAAATAAAGTGAAAGATGTGCGTTAAAAACATTGAAGTCTATTTTACCACATTCAAAATGATTCACTTGCTAAAGCTACTTAAATATACTTTTTTATATTAAGGTGCGTTAAAATGATTATCTATCTCTTACTCTCTGTTCCTGAAAGCAATTCCATCCTTTGTTTTCTTATTAAGCCTTAAAGTGTGCATTTTACTCAGTGACTGAATGTTTGCTATTCTTATTTATTATATTGTATTTTCCATTTTGCTCCAGAACTCCTGCTACTTTTACACGACTTTTCTCATTTTCATTGGGGAAAATTCAGCTCGTTGTTGGACAAGTCTTTTTTTTCCCCTTCATCTAAAAGTTAATCTTTATGTTCATAAGTGCAGTGCTGAATGCCTCCGCTGTTGCCTTGGCCGCTGCCGAGGCCTGCGAGCAAAATTCCAACACAGTCTCTTCCCATTTTGGTCTGCTCCTGTATTTTGTCTGTTATCACCTGGGTATTTACAAAGGAGGCTTCCGACTTGGCAATGATGAAGTGAGTCGGTATCGATGGCATCATATCTGATAAAAGAAAAAAAAAAAGCCGGCATACACTGGGAGGAACACATCATCTGAGCGATGGTTTACACTCGTTGCATCCACGCGTAATTTCTTTTACAGAGTAATCAATGCGCAGTGGCCACAGAGGCTAGTTTCCATGCTTTATGAATAAACACTTTGAAATGCAAAACATCTATCTATCTATCTATCTATCTATCTATCTATCTATCTATCTATCTATCTATCTATCTATCTATCTATCTACACTGCAGTAGTTTATTTGTGCTCGCTGCCCCCCGTGGAGTAACATCCAAAACAAATAGGGCTAATCCTCTAACTGCTTTATCCCATTAGAACCCCGCTGCTGCTTTCACACTTAATTCAATGGCTCCAGTGTAAATTAAACTCTATCCGGTCGCCAGCTTCAGCAAAACACATCTTGAGTTAAAGCTGAACCTCGATAAGCTGAGAAGCAACAAGGCGATAGCGGAGGCGGGAGGCGGAGAGGTCAAGTCCAGCTACGGCCTGAAACGCCACGTGTGGTTCTGTCTGTTTACTCACGGTGTTGTGCTCGCTGAAAACTTCTCAGTGTCTGTTCGTGTGCAACAAAGTACATCAGGTAAAAAAAAAAAAAAGATTAAAAGTGCATGAATGTGTCATGATATTGCTTTTGAAGGACAAATACATGAGCTCATAGATGGCTGCTAATGTGTCAAATAATCCCTAATAAGTCCCCTGAATGTGAAAAATGAATGAAACCTTTATAAAGTCAAATATGTGCAACTTGTCTCCATTTCTGCATCTCTTGAATTCACAGAAAATATTGGCAGTTCTCTGGATTATTGGACTCAAAACATTCAAACATTTCTAAATGTGTAAATTGACTTTTTTTTCTTTGCTGTCTTTCCAGTCTTGTTTAAAGAAAACTACATTTTCAGACTTGTGTATAAAGACCCTTATACTGTGGGTATATTTTTGCACTGTAGCCCCTGATGTTCCCGGCAGACTCGGGGCAGGAGAAGTTATCTGGGCTTAGATGGTTAAAATATGCACAGGCATATACAGTATCATGGTTTACTGGAAAAGTGGCGCTCTTTGAAGCCGGACATTGCAGTGACGTTGGAGCTGAATTCAACTGACTGACAAGGTTCTTATTGAAATAAAACATTCGGTGCAGAGCGCGAACACTTTTTTCGTAGTGGTGCAGGGGAGGCGTGGATCTCGCTCACTTTTGACATTCTCGTAGCAGTAGTAGCTTCTCCTCAAGGCAGGACTCAGATGACACCACCCCGCCAGCGACCGGAGGAGAAACATGGGAAGCTCTCTCTCACTTTTCAGCGGATGAACTATGTTTTGACACCAGGACGCGTTTGGGGGTTCGTCATATGAATCCGAGCATCGGGGAAGTTTCTGTGTTCACAGTAGCTGTGGAAATACTTTAAAGACAGTGCAAACCAGACTCTGGAACCCACGGAGCGCCGGTGACGGAATGTGAGAAACCCCATTTTAGCGCATGTTCCTCTCCATTGTGCGCAGCCTTCTCCTGCTTTCTGCGCGGTTGGAAAGCGGAGGAGGAGGAGGAGGGACGGCTTTTAACGACTCGATCCCTTGCCTATGGACGACGGCGGTCCCCTCTCTCCAAAGGCAAATGCTTTCAGTATTGCCTCTCTGATTTCGGCTGCAGAGCAAGCAGGAAACGCAGCGTTTGACAAACAGAGCACCGGCCTGGACAAGCCAGACCTGCACAACCACAGTTCCTTTAAAATGCACTACAGCACTGTCACCCGGGAAATGGAAGGTAATTTTGTTTGTCGATGCCCATAGAGTTGTTGTTGCATTTGCGCACCTCACAAGAAAGTACATAAAACTCTTGCGTTTGTCCGGCTCGTCGTCATTTTGAAAAACGCACAAATACGCAAAATCACATATTGGCGCGTTGCTTGGAATGCATGGAAGAAATTACTGTTAAAAAAAAAAAAAAAAAAATCTCAAAGTTGGCCCACTATTAAAATATTGCACATTCAAGCGCAGTAATCACCATCAGAGAGGAGAAGCACACAAAGCAGCCAGAGTGGAAAAAAAGTTTCCAATTCCAAAATCCCAAAGCGTTGTACCAAAAGTCAACTTTAATTCGTGGACAGGATCACATACATTGAAAATGAAGCCAGGAGGAGGAGGGTTTTCACGGGTATCCCGTGCGTAATGGTAAAAACAGACCATAATGGTCATATCCAGCACGGAGGGGGGTGTACATCCATCCCATATATCTATTTGTCCATATCGAGAAAGCAACAGTCACCTGCTGCCTATTTGTTTGTTCATGCAAATCAATGTGTGTTTACCTTGTAAAGCCTTTACCCTCCACTCTGCCGGGCAGATCCTCTATTGTTTGTTAACGGGGGTGATGTGGGCGATACCCTTATCCAAAAGTTAAATGGGTGCCGGAAAGCCCATTAAAAAGGGGCGCACTTCTCTGTCAATCAGTCTCGTCCCAAGGCGAGGAAAAGGCACATTACCTGCAGTTCCTTATCTAAATAGAAATAAGAACCGGTTTTATCGCAAAGGGGAGGCCCCCTGCGTCAGATAAGAGAGGAGTCTGGGTTGCAGCGTAACACACTGCAGCAGCGCACAACAGAGGCCGCTCAGAGCGCAATCGATCCGAAGCAAAAAGCAATTCACACGCACTCGATGCTCGTTTCTGCGAATAGTTCAGAGATTCTACGTGACCTCGGCAGTTTTTGGAAACATTTCGTCACGATCCGGACGTCGGCTATTTTAGATCAGGCGGCTTGTAGTATGCTGGCAGTGGATGCAACCTCAGGGACTAATGAACAGCCGAGACGGAAACTTTTAAACCGAAAGGGGTGCATTCGTGCCTGACAGCTTCATCTGGAGATCACTGAATCCTGCTTCTGTTTTTACTGTCTGTGTTTTAACCGACTTTCAGTGCAAGGCATATTTAGTAAATCCAGTTTTCTGGGATGATTTCAGCCATATCCAGCCCGTGGCTGACGCAGCTGTCCCATTTTTGCGATGTTGCAGCCTTCACGACGAGCAGCCTGAGCAGCCTCAACACGCCGGGGGGCTACCACCTCTCTCCGTCCCCCGGGGACCCCTACAGCCAACATGAGTCCCACTTCGAGCCGTGCCCGGCCGCTCAGCACAACTACAACTATCCCGGATCCAACCCGGGCCAGGCCCCGCCGAGCGACAACGGGACTGCAAATTGCTCCTCGTCGTCCTCGAACTCCACACCGAACAGCAAAACTATAGTGAAGAAGAACCCGAAAGTGGCCAACATTAGCGTCCAGCTGGAGATGAAAGCTTTATGGGACGAATTTAATCAGCTCGGCACGGAGATGATCGTTACCAAGGCTGGCAGGTGAGTGCGCAATGCACAGGCCAGAGGCTGTAGAGTTACTTTTCTCCTCTGGATCGACCAAAAAATAATACAAAATATGCCGTATTACAACAAATAACAAGCTATTAGTAGATATTCTGCTAATCCTGTCACCAAAAGACAAGAATAATTTTTTTTTAGCTTAATGCTAATTAGGAAAATCAGATATGCAGGATTTTGGTTCAGTTTAGCTGTTTTTTTTAATCAATTAATTTTATTATGTATATATTTTTTTCTGCTTTCACCATTTAATCTTTAGTTATATTTCTTAACTTAAATAACACATTTATGGGTCCAGGCTTGTAAAACTTTTTGCCTTATGGATTACTTAACGCACAAATCATCTTGCTTCATGCACATGAAACCCTGTGAGGTCTGTTTTCAATTAATGGCAAAAAATCATGACACTTGTCGCTCTGCATCAAACCATGTGGCTTTACAAAAGAAGGAAAAAAAAAACGTTATCTCTTTGGCCTCATAAATTACTCAACACACTTCCAGCTGCTGGAGATGTTTTAAAGACGAGGTCAGATGTATGTGGATGTGTGTGTCAGCTGTAAACACCATGTTGGTGTGATCCTGCTGCGTTTAATAGCTCCAATAAGGATAACTGTGAGTCATGGCTGCTTTTCTTCACCATCGGATTCAATTTTACACTGTGGCTTTGAAAATCTGCGTCATATAGAAACGAAGACCAGCTCCTGTAGGTGCCAGTTACAGTGCTGCTCTTTTGTTTTTATTTGGGCCTTTTTCTATTTCCATCATTAGCTATAGGAGCCTGCCTCACTCGCTCTTCTGTTCACACTCTCAAAAGTCTACTTTGGTTACATAAATGGCATGAGAACACCAAAATATTAATTAAACAATATTATTGGAGTTCTGGCCCCTTTTCTTTAAAGATTCAGAATTATATTCTGCTTGTATCCAAGCAGACAAAATTCCTACCAGCGTTGACCTCTGACCCTTTTTGAGAGTCAATAAAACGTTACATTAACCTTAAGTGTACCGTTTTTAAAAAAAAAAAAATTAGCAAACACTCAATACGGCTCTGTATTAAAATCATATATATAAAGAAGCCCGAGTTAATAGCTTTAATCCAGAAAGTGAGGCTTGAGTTTCCCCGCTGTGCGCTGTCTGACAGGAGAAAGGAGATCTGCAGCAGAGCACTTTAAAAGCTCCTTCAGCCTCACCTAGCCACAACACTGACGTTAATTGAGCGTTGATTTTAGGATCCCTTTCACTGACTCCGCGGATTACTCAACTTTCAACTCATGTTCTGGGGGGATATGGATCTGCCTTACAAGGTAACCTGTGTTAGTGCATGGGGAAAAACAAACGCTGGAGTGCAGAAGCGCTGACCAAAACTCAGAGCACAACTTGCAAAAGTGAGTTCTCCCAATTTCTGCAGCCAAACCAGAGCAGCGAAACATTGTAAATGTAATATAAAAAAAAGACTGCTGATTTATCAATTACAGCACTGCCTCTAAAAATCCACATTATTTGTTTTCATACAAATTCAATTACTGACGTGTTTTCTCTCGATTGCGAATAAAAGTTGCATTTAAAAGCTGAACACTCTCGTGAATATTAGTCTGCCCAAATAACGCACGTGTGTATTTACATATGAGTAGGCCTTCGTGTATCTGGAACTCATCAAAAGTCCAGAAGAGAATTTGAAGTGCTCTGCCAGAAGTTACTAAAGCGGAGTTTAAAGGCAACAAACGCAAAGCTCCGCTCAGATCAGGGAGAGTTTTATCCGGTTACGCACGGACTGAATCACGTCATTCTCAATAGCTTGGAGCCTCTGTCTTGTTGCAGCCTCCAAACACGGGCAAAAAAAGAAGCTCTCCAGGCCTGGAGCAACATGTCTTTCTGCGAAGTGCATGCTGTTTTTAAAATACTCTAGCAAAATCGTTTGTCTCCTCGAAAGAATTCCGAAGAATTTAAACATTAAACAACATCATCCACACACACACGCACGGCCATGATCTTTTTTTTTTTTTTTTACAAGTACAATTAGGCTGGATGCCCACTAAATGCAAAGTTTTTTAAAGCTTAGATTTAACAGCGACCCTGTATTTTGTTTTTTTCTCTCTCAGGAGAATGTTTCCAACTTTTCAAGTGAAAATATTTGGGATGGATCCCATGGCAGACTACATGCTTCTGATGGACTTCCTGCCTGTAGATGACAAACGTTACAGGTAACTTTCTCATTTCTGCAAACTGGTGAAACAGTGTCCTCATGCAGGACTGTATACAATGTGCAAATCCGGAGCTTTTTTTTTTTTTAACCGACCAGGACATTATATTTATTAGTTAACATAACAACAGGACCAGGCAGTTTTATGAATACATTTATGCATGCGCTCATAAAAACAGAAATACAATCATGGTATTGCTATATTTTGATTCGAACTTCTCTAAAATATGCTGTGACTAAATACAGACTTCCTCGTTAATTAAATGTGATATTTTCCTTCTACTGTGAAGCCTGTTAATGTAGCCTCAGCGTGTCTTCATACATGCCAACGCATGCACAGATATTTTGGATGCGTAAGCAGAAAACGTACCCTATATTTTTTGCATGCGAAAGCGGGCAGCTTACATCCTTGCGTCTAATTTACTTTTATTGCCCTCGCAGGTATGCTTTCCACAGCTCGTCGTGGCTGGTGGCGGGTAAAGCTGATCCTGCCACACCGGGCAGGGTCCATTACCACCCGGACTCTCCAGCCAAAGGCGCACAGTGGATGAAGCAGATTGTGTCGTTTGATAAACTCAAATTAACTAACAACCTGCTGGATGACAACGGACATGTAAGTACACTAAGTGTAAATAAATGCAAGCGAAAGAGAAGCCAGTTTGAGCAGATAGACACACAGTATGCGTATAAGTTCCCACTAAACGACACAGCGCGCCAATGAGTAACTGTAAGAACTGTTCCAAAAATCATTATACAAAAATACAGCAATTTAATTAACTGCAATGACAGCAGAGAGGACAATTAAATTTTAAGAAGCATAATTTAGAGCCACAGTCACATTGAGGGCACAGAAATACTACAAACGGTTAAGTGGAAGTGCAAATTTACCAACAAATCCCAACAGAAGTTGTATTACCGTTAATGAGTGGTTGAGCAAATTTTATTCGCCCTCAAACTGATTGATAAAAGTGCTTTAAACGTAATAAAGCGTGATGTTTTGACGGATAGTCAGACGTTGCCAACAGCTTATTCTCTCTCCCGACACCGCACATGAGGCTCTGCTCCAAATATGACGACAAGGAAGTGGAATATTTCACCACTGGAAATTATTTCAGCCTCTCCTGCTTGATCTTCCACTCGGACTGAGCGGTTACTTGTCACTGCATTAGTTGTGAAAACAGAGAAGAAAATGGGAGATTTGGGAGTTTTAGGGGATTTTTTTTTTAACCAAATACTGAAAAGATGAGAAATAGAAATGTGTGCACAACGGGCCTGTATCGATGAGCTGACGACCGTCACTGCTTCATTGCCTTAAAAGCGTTTAAATGTGAACTGCGTAAATAATATAGTCTAATGGATTTTATAGCTTTAGAGGAAAAATTACAATAAACGGCTGTGCATATTTCATAAGAGCGTTCAACTATTTCTGCATCTTTTGGCCGTTCCCCAACCGGCTTGTGGAGTCATGGAGATGGGGTTTAAATAGATATAGACATATAGGTATAGACAGTATTATGTATATCTTTTAGGCACAAGTTACCGAACTAATTCGTTTAGTCTTTACTATATTTTGTTATATTTTTAGTTAATATTTATGGCTCTATTTGCTCAGCCAACTACAATCCCTCAGTACAACTCTCAATCTGAATCCTTTGCTCTTCACAGATCATTCTGAACTCGATGCACCGCTACCAGCCCAGGTTTCATGTGGTTTATGTGGACCCCCGCAAGGACAGCGAGAAATACGCAGAGGAGAATTACAAAACCTTTGTTTTTGAGGAAACCCGCTTCACAGCGGTCACAGCCTACCAGAACCACCGGGTAAGCAGCTTTTGTAACCATGAACCTCAGAGGTTTGATTTGCAGGAACGCACAGCAGCTTAACGCGTAAAAATGTAGAACGAAGCAAAAACTGGACATTTTGTTTGATCATGAGAAGTATGTGACCACAAAATAGACCTGTAACCTGGTCAGCTTCACCTCACCTATTATTAATAAAAAAAGATTTTCAAAGCATATTTTACTCTAAATTGTGCACAAGCAGTAATTCATGAATCACTTCACTTGTGCGTTTTTTGCGCGTAAAGGTTGCCTCAGGTTTTTGAGCTCAACTGTGCTTCCTTTTTTGCGTCGTCCGTGCTCTGCTTTCAATCAGTCTCTGATCAGTCTCTGTGCCTGTTAAGATTAACACATTAGTGCCTTCATCGGGACTAGTAACGAGTGATACGCTAGAATAAAACTGTCTGAGTTTTCCATTCCATAGTTAGAGAGTGTGGGAGTTGGTGCGTTATGCTGGTTTAATATTCATGTGGTCATGTCGTGATCAGGCACAGGAGTGACATAACTCTGTTGTTTTCAGTTAGATTTGACATTTTTCAAAAGTTGTTTTTACATTAATTAATTTACATTTTTATTTATATTCTTAATGCATACTATCAGAAATGAACTGGAAACATAATAAAATAGCGATGATTCTGAGATTAAGTTATGTTTCAGTTTGTGATGGAAACTGTGCCATACCAGAAATAATACAACTGTATAAATATTATACGTACCAAAACAATAATTACAATAACTGGCAGTTACATAAAATCACTTGTGTCTGAATCACATTGAAAGCACAATGTTGTAGCCAACACCTGTTAGTTTCCATATATTATTAAAGACAGACCTGTGTGTAAATGTGTTTTTTAATGAGACAGAGCAGATTTTCAGCCCACATTTTTCATATATTATCCTCTATCTCTGCTGTCCTTTCAAATAACCAAATGTAGTGACAAAGTAGAAAAGACATTGTGTTTAGCACTGAGGTTTATTTGATGTTGTCTGTTGCATTTCAGATCACGCAGCTGAAGATAGCCAGTAATCCCTTTGCAAAAGGCTTCAGGGACTGTGACCCAGAGGACTGGTGAGCATTCACACTCTAATATTACAGACTTATTGGCATGTTTCCACATGGGGTAAAAATGTGCAATGGGAGCAGGCCGGGTCAGAGAGCTTTTGCAAAATAGTTCTATTGTTTGTTTTATCTCACACAGGTGCCAGATGGGTGGAGTTTGCTAGATAAAACAACACAGAGAGTCATAAATTTTAGAAATCACTGGATATTGTTTGAAAGTCAATCGACTGTGTTTTTCTGTCATTGACAAATGAGCAGACACTCTTGTAATTGTCACAGTGGAGTAAACTCCACCCATCTGGTGTGCTCAGACAGCTGAAGCAAGCGTAAAGATTTCTTCCAAGCACTATTTATCCAGCTTTGCAAATTACTCAAATTCCTTTTTTGTTTAAAGCATTAGCTGAGCAGTCACACTGAAGTGAATCTGAATTTTTTTTCTAATTATTTATAGAGAACAACTGAGAAATGTAATGTCGCTTCACATTTCATTCAATGCAAATTTGAAATCTGTCAATGTGTAAATGCTCATTACATGGATCAATGTAAAATCGTAAAATGTGCATTCATCATTTTAATATATAATAAAGAAATTGTGCCCTTGACATTCATTAAGTGAGTATGTAACTGAATCCATTCTTCCTGCTCCAGGCCCAGGAATCACAGGCCAGGCTCTCTGCCAATAATGAGTGCCTTTGCCAGAACAAGAAACCCAATGTCATCTCCCCCTCAGCAGAACGGCACAGAGAAAGGTCTGCAGCTCGCTCTTTGTTTCATTTCAAAACTCATGCCTGCTATCAAACATGAAACATCGTCCCATTAAGTTATTCAGCATTTTGAAGAAATGTTTTTCTTTCCGTTGTTGGCACACTTTACATCTTTCGTTTTCTTTTACTCTCTTAGCCTTAACTGAATCACTGTGGTGCATTCGCAGTATCAGGCCAATGCTGGCTTTTAATTAAACATCAAATATCGGCCAGTCAATGTCATCCTCTGCGAACATAATAGAGGTTCTCATGCTGTTATATAACTGACCACAGCTTCACAACAAAGTAGAACCTGAAATGAAAATGAGCTTTTCTTGGCATGGTGATGACTGATGTATGTATGAGTTCAATAATAATAATTTGATCAATTATGTATTTATTAAATTGAGAGTTTCAACTTGGTTTAAAAAAAAACAACTTCTAACTGATCTAAATAAATTTTCTAACTATAATTCCTATGGAAAAGCTCTAATCTGTAAAATTAATCTACAGTGTAGTAGATTTTATATGCATTGATATTCTTCAACAGATAATAAATATCTGTTTATCTGCTTTTCAGTGCAGACTTCTATCTTGACTATAACAATAATCAAAACACTGCTACTCCTTTGTAGATCTGATAGTAAAATACTGCGTATTAAGTGGAAATTACAGCTGGGAAATGAGAAATTAATATATATTTGTGCACAATACAAAATATTAGTGGTCCGAAATGTTGGTATCAGAAAAAGCCTTAAAAACCTGTAGCTGTCATGACTTATCATGAGTGCAGAAAATATACACAACCTGCTTGTACCAAGTGTTCACATGCTGACTGTCTCTGACTTTACTCATGTCTCTGCCCTCACAGAAGACAGTAGAAGGGAATACGACCGGGACCCCAGCGGCACACCTATACACGCTGACCCGGCTCACCAGCTGATGTCCCGGGTCCTCAGCCCAGCCCTGCCCGTCCCAGGAGGCCTCCACGCCGTCCCGCTGACAAGTGGCCGACCCAGTCCTCCCCACGACCTTCGTTCAGATCCACACCCTCTACCCCCGGACACCCTGCACCACCACCCCTACAAGTACCCCACCACCTATGAACACTATTTGGGAGCCAAGACCAGGCCGTCACCCTACCCTCTACCCAGCATCAGAGGACACACATACCATCACCACATGAACCCCGCCACAACTAACATGTACTCAGCCACCAGCGGCCCCTCTAACTACGACTACGGGCCCAGATAATGACTCCTGTCCATTAGGTCTGACGGTGCACAGCACTGTGGGAATGGAAACGGGCAGGACAGGCAACACAATCCTGTCCATTGATGGCTTATGCAACCTGTGGGGTGCGATCACAGTCTGAAACTCCTTTCTGCTGGATAAACCCTGCCATATTTATTTAAAGGAAATGCATCTCTGTGTTAAGCTTGGGCACCTGTTCTAAGCCACTGAAGAGGTCTTGCTTCGACCTTTGAACTTAAATGGCAACGGCTCTACATCAGGCCACCTCCTACCTGAGTAGTGCAGACATTGAGCCAGCAAACAGAGGAGACAGGAGGGACGTCTCTACAACACAGACAATACTTACAATCACAGACTGGAATTGAATTCTTCATTATTATTTTTTTTTTTTGTGTTGAATGCACTTTTTGATTTGCCTTGTTTTTATTGCTTTCAAAAAAGCCATATGTTATATAGTCCATCAACCTTATAGGTAGACGAGATGTTTGCATGTTGAGCTCATCAGAGAGGGTGTCGAAACACATTGAAATGTTTTTGTTTGAGGAAAAAAAAAATCGAGATTTGGTTTTGAAACATTCTGAACATCTTGAGCCGCTCTGAGAAGCTTGTACCATGGCACTGACTTGCAGCAATTCAAAGTAAATAAATGAAGCAGAATGACTGTTCTGTATCTGTAAAATAAACATTAAATTCTTGTAATTCATAAAAAAAAAAAAAAAAAGTTCTTTGTGCCAATCTTCCATTCAAAAGTCAGATCTGCTGATGCACTGCTGAAGGGGGAGGGTTAAAAAGAGCTTACCTCACTGATAGCATTGTTCAAGTTTCTCCAGCCGGATTTGCCCTGTCGAAATGGGCTGAGCTGTCCGCTGCTCCCGCAGTCACAGGCAGGCTGTCTAAACATTAGACCACACTATAAGTCAAATGTTGAAATCCGCACCTGGTTTTATGAAGAAGAAAAAAAAGGACACATAAATACACTCATCAACCAGGCATCCCATGCACACACACGTCCCTCTTAGTCAACCTGAGTGCAACTACACTGCGCTCACATTACAACTTTAGTTGATTTATTAATAAAAATTGTTTCAAGAGGGCATTTTAAATCTTCGTTTTTGCAGCGAAAGACTTTAGAATAGTCAGAAATACAAACAAGATAATAAAAAGGTGATGTTAATAGCGTAAAAAATGACTGACTCATTAGACATTAAAGAGACCACTGTGTAATTTATTTAACAGTTATTTCATTTGTGTAAATTCAGATATTTCTGTTTTTCGAGCACTAACTTTTCAGAAAATAGGAAAAGTTGTGGAAAAACAGAGGGGGGGGAAAAACCAGCACTTCCCCTTCCCTCCCTGTAGGATATCATTGCTCACATTTAATGGGACAGTTGGGTGATATTTTGAGAATGTGACCCTCCTCCTATCTGTGCAGCCATTTCCATCTCCTATTTGAAGTCCTATGAGGAATGCTTTGTTGTCAAGGTTAATCTGGTTTGGAGAGAGAGACACAGAGAGAGAGAGAGAGAGAGGGGAAAAAACCACCCAGCTTTGGGATTTGTTGCTGTCACTACACAAAGGGAAAGGTAGCCTAATGATTCATTTTAATAATGTATTGTTTTTAACCCACAGAGGGAGAGCCTGAGGGCGTCTGACCTTTGACTGTTTAATGGTTTGTAAAGGTGTCAAAGGTTAAATAATGTTTCCACTCATTTAAACCTAGACTAATTGGTTGAATTTATTTATTTTGTTTGTTTGGGAGGCGACTAAAGCTTGGATTTTACATTTGAACCGTATCATGGAGCAACATGGACGATGACTTCTTCTGAATTTTAAGCGAGATGCATTTGCTAGCTAGCTGTTAGCTTCATGAAAAAGCTAACTCACGATAAAATGTATAAAATAGGCAACATTTAGTAATTTGTTTAAAATTCAACACCTCTAGTTATTAAATTTAGAAACTGTTTAAAGGCCTTTTTTTATTTAACTGCTACAGTCTATGTCAAAACGCCATTTTTCCACGTTAGGTGTAACTGAAGCCAAGCATACATTTGTTAATTTTATAAAATAATGTAAATAACCGGTATTAAAACTACAACATACGACTTCTTTCGGTGGAATATTCCGTGTTCCCTTGTGTCCTGTCAAGAGGCCGACGTCTGGAGATGTGAAGCTGCCTGTTGTGAGCCGACGCCGGCGGCAGGTGCTGATCCGCCGGCCGGAGAGACGCGCAGCTCCCCGGGCCGCTGGCTGCACCTCCAGGGGGCTCGTGCGGGGTTAGAGGAGGGCAACAGAAGGGGGCAGAAGGGTCAAAATGGTCTATGCGGACTAATTACAGGTTTCACAACGCAGAAGAAAGAGAAATAGGGATGCCAGTACACGACTTATGTTAGTGAATCCAACTGTGAGTGAAAGTTGCAGCTGTTGAAGACGTTTCACAGGTGAGTTTATCCTCATTAGTGGTGCAAATGATCAGAGGCTGCACGAAGACACCCACTGTATACTTAGACTTAGTGGAAAATCTGAGGGAAAGCAGGTTGAATTGCTTCAGGAAAGTAGTTCTGTGGCTTCTAGTGTCCAGCTGAGGATTCATTGTAGAAGAGGTGCACAGCTCCAGGGAGGGAATAAACAGGTATTCATACCCTTTACTTAAACAGAAAGAGTAATACTGCAAAATAATCTATTTAAAGTCCTGGACTGAAGTCGTAGCAAAAATAGATCATTTTTCAATAAAATGTATTTAAGATATCTAAGTAGAGAAAGCTCCACTGTATTTCAGAGGAAACTACTTTTTATTCCACAGTCCTGCTATAGCTTTAGTTACTTTAAAGATAAAGGTTTTACACATTGGGTAAGTAAAAAGATTTGAGCATACAACACACTGTTAAAGATTAAACCAGTGATTTCTAGTGTTTTTGGCTACTTACATAAAAACAGTGTGTTGAGGGTCACATTTCATTTGAGTTTGACCCCGAATTTGATGAAGTTGTTAAGAGGTCCAACAAATAGGTGTTTTTTTTCTGCTTCCATTTCAATAAATGCTCAGTGATCCAATATCTCACCAAAAGTTAAATTGCAGAAGTTCAAAAATTGGAAAAAGATTTGTGTATCAGATTTTTTTAAATGATTTTTTTCCTGCCAATAATGAGCTCACAAACCCTCAGATTTATCTGCTCTCCCTGTATACACAACTGGATAGAAAGTAGTTTCAACCTGCAGCAGCTCCAACAGTAACATGCTGCTGATACACTGATGCTTCACTGTTAATAATCGAATGATATCAGTCAGAGAGCAAACCAGCACTTTTACTTCAATACTTTAAATACATTTTGCGGCTAATACTTGTGTACTTTTACATAAGTACGGTTTTTCATGTTGAACTATTACTTGTAATGGAGTATTTTTATATTGCAATATTGGAGCTCTGAAGATCTGAATGCTTCTTCCACTCCTGGTTATTGGATCATCATTACAAATACCCTAACAAGCATGTTTTACTGTTTTGCAGGTCAAGATCAAACTAATGGAAGCTAAATTGTACACTATGAGGTAGTTTTAATCTGTAACTGTGGATCATATTTTACAAGATCCTGTTACTTGTAAAATCTTAACAATAGTTGATTAAAGTTATCAAATAAATGAAGTCAGGCAAAACATAATTGTCTTTTTGAACCTTAACAAAATAGAATGTAAATGTAAATACTTTAAGTACAAGGTTGTGCTTAAATACAGTATTTGACTAAATGTCTTATTTTTTTCTGACTGGAAATGTTCATATTTATGTAATTTTGTACCGAGCCATATGCTTACTGAGAAACCATCTCAGTAAATGTCTCTCTAGTACAATATGCATAATTCTCAGTAGACTTGACACAGAAGCCCTCAAGCAGTGGAACATTGGGGAAATTGCGCCTACTGGAGAGATTGTAATGAATTGCATGTCAATATCAACTAAATACAATGAGCATGGTCCCTCTCTGAAATATATTCAATTATATCCACATTAGATATTATTACATTTCTACACATGAACCTAGACAGGCGCTGCCATGCTTTCAACAGGCCTGGGCCATTTTCAAGTAGAAGGGAAGGGAAAGACCAACCTGCTAAGGTCCAGTCATGCTGCACAACAGTTTCTGTGCCTGAATGTCTCCAGCAGAAAACAATGTGCCAAGGACTTGTCATTGAAGTATGAAGAAGCAGAGGATGGATGATAATACAACCTGAAACATCATTTGACACTCAGCTGCATCTGGAACATTTGTTGTGACGTGTCTATAAGGGCCTTGATGCGTTCGCTTCACTTCGTTCTGTGTTTCTACTGCCCGGCCTTCCTGAAGTATCTGGGGACAGTTATTAAAAACAAGCCAGGTAGACCAACCTGAGTCCTCCACGCAAACGACAGAACACGTGTTTCACATGTTGCCCTCGCTGGCCTCTCGACCGGTACAAAACGTGCTGTGCATGAAGTTGCTGACGGACATTTTCTGTGGAACATCAAAACACATCACCACCCCAGAGAAAGAGCCTCGATACATTCGTATTAATTCACATATGAAAAAATAAATAAAACCAACTTAACCGTGAGGTGAAACATTGGTCTTGGCTTGTACTGAAAGGATTATTTTCTTATAACCATTCTTCTTCACCATTTAGGTTTTCTAAATAATCAGGCCCAGAGCAGTGTGACATCTCAGCCAGTAATATGAGCCGTGAATACAACTGAAGGCTTAGGGAGCAGCAGCATCGACTACACACATACTTGCACACCCGTGCAACCTACCGGATTATGTCCCATCCTAAAGCCAGTTTGACCTCTGACCTTTAAGGCCAAGGAAGACACACGTTAGGTGATAAGTGAAGCACAAGGCCTATTGTGCAGACAGTCTCCCTGTCCATTTATTGACTTCCTAAATGATCCATTATGAAGTGATTTACGAGGTGTACCGCCAACCCACTAGGCACTTCTGAGGCCGTTGGGTTGCTGTCTGCTCCCTTTAGCAGACATCTGCACCAATGGACTCAGCATTTGATTTATCAGAGAATGGACGGAAGCTGGCCCACACCACCTCTAGTGTTTGTTCAAAGCCAACAGGAGAGTTAGGAAGCCATTATGAATGCAAGATGTCACCAGAGGGGTCAGGGACAAAAGGGATAGATGGAGCTGGGCAGGGAACACAGAAAACAAGTCACTGAAACTAGTCATCATACAATAAAAATGAGCAAAAAAAAAAAAGCTCTTCTATGTGTTCTCAAAAGGATGTAAAGGAGTTTTCAATAAGTTCAGAACACAGACTTCAGACAATTATGGAAAAAAAAAACAAAAAAACATCAAACCTGCAGTTACACTTTTTTCCATGACAGTAGCGTCACAGAAAAGCAGCTCATCTAGCAAATGACCTTGTCTTTCCTCTGTTCGCTAATGATTCGTGGCCGCTAGTCCGGCTCTTTGATTTCTCAGGCCTTTCCTGTACAGCATGATGAGCTTCTCAATTTGGGATCATCCCAGGAGACAAAGCAGAACATATAATGTTTGAAACTCTGGCCCCTGCACCAGGGCCTCTCACTTTGATTCTGTAACACAGGAGGTCCCATGCTGCTCAGTGACACACATAGATATTATTAGAGACTGTGAACAACATGTGTTTTCTGTAGGACTTTCAGAACACCTTTAGCCTTCTTGACAAACACCATTTTCCTAAAGAGACATCAGCATCACGAGTGTAAAAGTTAACTGTTGATTATCAGAAAATAAACGTCATTTTATTTTACTTTTACTTGCTGAATGATGGCTCAGTTAGTGGACATTTTATAGTTTTTCTGGCTTTGATTTGCAGAGATGGCACACTTATTAAGAAAGTAAATCAGCTCAGATCATGGTGACTAGGAGGAGCAACGGCTGATCAGCACATCCACTAAACCAGCACCTCTCTGCTCTCTATGTCCCTGCCGTGATTAACCTTGTTTGACAAATACAACTCAGGTCAGGCTGGAGGGCCTGTGTGTTAAGCCAGAACCTGCTAGAATAACAACACGGGATTACATAGCTGCTCAGGTGCGCCGTATGCCTCAAATTCAAGTCCACTGAAGCAAATCTCCCATCAGATAAGTCAACACAATCACATAGCTGCACAGAGCATCACAGCAGGCTTCAGCAAACAGCAGGCTGGAAAAGTCAGCAAGCACCTTATTAACTATTTGAAAGACATCAGTAATGGAAGTTCGCCTTAGAGTGAAGAAAACAGTGGCTGTACAGCTCTGACGAGTTACACTACAATGCAAGAATAAAATATGGTGTGAGAACATCAGGTCTTTATCTGGAGGGCAGTGTTAAGTTTTGTAGTTCAGTGTACTTTCTTTGCATCCTTATAGTCACTGCTTACGCCCTACTCACGTACAAACTTCTCTAAAAGACAAATAAAATAAATGTAAACATAACACAGTGTCAATTTCCATATTAATGTATTTTTTAATTAAAATATAAAGTTGTGAGAATAAGCGTCCATATATACCAATATAACTTACCATAAAACATTTAATTTCAGTCCATGTTGTAAAAATTGAAGAGGGATTTTATTTCTGATTGTGTAATTTCTGACATATTGCAACATACTGTAGCAGAGGGTGGAGTCCATACAAATTCTAGATATTCATTTGGAATTCTTCTGAATGAGTGAGGTATAAATCTGGAGTGAGCAATTTTGTTTGTTTTTTTTGCAGTTTTTGCATTCATAGTTTTTTTTCCACATATTGTGTGAGGAAACCAGACTTCTGCACCTCCTCTTGGCTTCTTTTCAGGCTTTGGACAATCTAACCTGTGATGTTAGAAGCTTTTCACCCAGATCAGGTGAGCCAGTATAGAGAGGAAGAAAGCTTGCAGTGAGAGCAGAATGTGGCAGTACAGTAGCTTAAACAGAAGACTTTCACTCAGGGGTGAATGTTGGCTTTTAGCTTTAATATTTTTGTTCATTTGGAGCATGTGCATATGATTCTGTTCATCTGGTGGGAGGGGCTTGGGACAGAGAGGAAAGCACTGCAAGAGGCCTGTTTTTTCAAAATGTGGATGTTTTTCAAGATTAATGCCTACTGCAGCTTTAATTTTTTTTTAAAATGACGGTACTGCAATTATTGTACGTAAGAGGCACAACCTGGGGCTAAAGCTACATTATGTCAGTACAGAAAACAGCTAAGAAGGCTTTGATCAAAAGTCTTTATGTCCTCCGAGAGCTCAGAGACTCAGCCAGTATCAGCTCCCTCATTGTATATCGACCACAGGCTGATTCGTTGGTCCTTGGATCCAGCAGCCAGCAGTCTTTTTCTGGGGTCCTGGTGGTCAGAGAAGGCCACACTGAGCACCAGGTCTGTGTGGTACTGAAGTACTGCCAGTGGTCGCAGCTTCTTCCAGCCGAATACCCGTACCCGGTGGTCCCAGCCGGCTGATGCCAGAAGCTTACCATCGTCCCTAATACACAGCTGGGAAACTCCAGGGTTGACCAGCATCACACTATCCTGCAGCTGGAAAAGAACAAAGAAGATCTTAACAGGCTTCTGCATTTATCAGACATGCATGCAAAGACAGCTTTACATTTACTGCAAGCACTTTCACAAATGAAGACAAGGCTAATACAAAGGATGCAAAGCATGTAACAGTAAGAAATGTAAACCAAATAAACCCACTGCTCATGCAAATAAAGGACAAAAAATATCAGACATACTAATTAGGTCAGTGAGTCGATTTATCACTGCCGTCTAGGAAAACGTGGCCAATGCAAACATTGACAGCGAAGGGCTATCAGCTGATCTGATGACTGAGGTCCAAGTGTGAGGCTGGGGGTCTGTTGAACCTGGCCGTAGACTCCTGGGACTCAATCATCGGCCATAAAACATTACGGCACGAGGGCCACGAGTAAATCTCTCTGCGTGCCATTATTTGGTTTGGAGTTAAGGAGGCCTATTCTGTAAGCATGACAGGGCTTTGAGTTACCTGTGTCACAGTTTGCAAGAAAGAGAGACCATCTCGATGAAATGCTTGTTTGCAGAGACCTTGTTGCTTTAAGCGCCGCTGATGAATTGCATTCACACTGAAAGCTCCGGTCAGCGGGCGAAGAGTTCCGATAAATACACTGTTGTAACGTCTGCCTGCTAAAGATTAGCCACAGCCCCCTCTCCCTGTGATCTACAGTGTCCAAAGGACAGTATCAATCTCTCTAAAGGGGCAACATTCTGACATATTATAATGAATGACAGCTAAGATCACTATCTAAAGGGCCTGCTGTGGTAGGCATTCCTGGGGAGAGAACGTGCTCTTCCTGCTGAGTAGGGATCTCCACTGGATCGCTAGATGGGGCACAAACATCTGGACATGGGAGCTGAAATCAAACTGGACAGCGTAAAATTGACTTCATAAGTCGTGTCTAGGGAGACTAATGGCCTTGGATGGGAGGAGATCTTGGGAGAATTTATCTGCTTGCTCCTGTTCCGGCCAGGAACCATCCACAAGCTGCATGTGGAAGATATAAGCCAGGTACTCATAGCCCAAGTGGATAAAGTGGAATGCAAGGGAGAGAGAGAGCAGGGAGGAATGTCATTGATCATAACAGCACGAAGGCTCAGTTCAGAACAGCCAGTGATGTGATTTCACATTTCAGCTTTTTTTTTTTTTTTTAACTAATCAAACCATCATCACTGGTACCACTAGTGTGAAACAGTGTGTGCCTGCTTAGACAAAACCAGCCAGATACACGGATACAAAAAAAAAAAACTAGGGGGGGTGAAAGATTGTTTGGAGCTTTGTTATTACCTCAAGAATTTGGTATGCCCCTACCTCTCTCCATCTGGTTTGGATTAGAGCCCTGATAATGATGGGTTTAAGTGTCTGTTTTTGTTTGTTTTGCTTCCCATAGTTTGTGTCAGGAAAAGGCATTTGTTTCATTTAAGGGTCAATTGCATGCAGTAAATGCCTAATGATGTAGTGATGGTCATTCAGCAAGGCTGGCTGGCTAATTGTTTTTACTTTCTGTCTGAGAAAGTGGAGAGAAAATAGGTTGTCCTGTGCTATAATTTAAAATGAATGATGCTCGTGTGTAGCTAGGCTGGTTCCTAAGGTGCCAGTGATCAGTGTTTACTCTGTGACTTCATGTGGCACTGCTGTTTGTTAGCTGATTAATCCATTAGGTAATACACAGAGAAGTCAACAACTGCAAAATGTAATTTATTGCTTTAAGTCATTTATCAACTAAAAAATCCACATGCTGTCTTCTCTCATCGCTATAAATTTTAGATACTTAGTGGGGCAAAAATAAAACATTTTATGATGTCTCCATGGAGTTTAGAAAATTCTGATCTACATTTTTTTATGATTTCTTACATTTCATAGACAGTTTTATCCATGGGAGTAGGTTTTCGTTTGCATATTGGAGGTGGGGGTGTGTGCTTTAAGCATGGCCCCGTGAGGTCCTCCCCTAGGAAAACGTGAGCGTCAAACTTAGTTTCCTGCATTATGGTGATTTTTTTGTCACAAGTTCGTGCCTTTCTGTGTGAATTTAAAATGGAAAACAAAATCTAGGTCGCAGGTGATAATTCAAAAATAATGGAGTATAATGCAAGAAGTTTTTTAGGCATTTTGTATTGCTTTTACATTTTTGTTCTCCTATAAATGACTTTTTCGCATTTGAGATCATCCCTTCTCAACACACTCTTCTGTCCTCTTCTGTGTCTTTTGCTTAAGACGATAACCTCTTCTCATGTGCATGTGGCAACAGTTCACATCATTGATGAATAATTTGTTTTAATTCATTTATAAACCTCTTGGCTTTAGTAGGTCATACATGCCTTAGCAAGATTTCTGTTTTTGTTCAAAACTTGCTGCACACTCAAAACATATCCCCAACTTGTTTCTTTGCGTGTATTTAACTACTGAGGGAGACGTATCCACTGCGTCCCAACTGAAATCTATTACTTTATTAATCAATCCCAAAAATAAGGAAAAGATGTATCAGCTGAAAATAAGTTAGTTGAGATTAATATTAGTTTTGGTCGTATACAGTGTATGCTAATTTTAAGAATAAAAACAAGAAAAACTTAAAACTAAAAATGAAACAGAGTTGACGCAGTGAAACAGTTGATCCATTTTGATAATGACCGATACTTAAAGTCATGTTTTAAAGTCTGAATGTGGCTCTTTGGACAGTTTCCTTGATTCTCGTCTTTGCACAGGCTAAGTTGTTGCAGCTTCATATTTATTGTACAGACATGAGATTGGTCACAATCTCCTCAACAAAGTCGTAAAAAGAGTTTTCTAATTGCATATCTTCTATGAAAGTACATTGATCATGTTTGGATTTGGACAGTTGATCAGAAAGAAAAACCTACATCTGAAAGTGTTACTTTGTGTTCTAGGAACACATGATTTTATAGACTGAATGGCAAAAATAAGTTAGTTGCAGCCCTGGAAAATATTATTTCTCATTTTTGATCACTTCTCTTTGTTCTTGGAATGGAATTAATCTTTTCTAATTCCTAGTTTCTCGTTTTCCAGCAGCAGCATTGTTGCTCCTGCTATAAGACTACGCCACAGATGAATGAATAAAAAGAAAATGCAGCTGACTTGCAGCACTGCTGCCTTTTCACAAGTCTAAATCTGTAATGAAATCCATTATCTCTAACTGGGGGGTCTTGGCTTTTATTTTACACCCCATTTTTCCTTTTACTGCTTCCTGACTATCTCATCATAGACTAGATCAATCTTTAGGCATCATCTATTTTTTTTTTTTTTTTGTTGAAACACTCCTAGCTGGTCTGTGTTACAGCATGCAGACACACACACAGCAGGCCTGCTGTCTAAACGCCAGCTTTTTCAGCTGTCATGAGGCTAGAAGCTCTGCCCAGCAGCTGGGCCCACAAGACTTTCTGTGGGTCAACGACAGATCCAAGACAAACTCACACTTCGGGATCCTCTTTTGTAGCATCTCACCGACGCAGCCGACGTTCAAAGGGAGCATCCACTTGGCAGGTTTCATTCAAGCCTTGCTCCACTTTTCTCCCCTGTCTTTTCCCTCAGTCTTGGCACCAATCTTGGTGTTCACACTGATCTACTGAAACGTCCCATCATCGCTCACTCACTCGAGCCTAGCGGCTGGGAGGCTTTCGCAGGTATTTCTGACACACCCTGTCCCTGAATCACACTCAGCAGTGAGGAGATTACAGCCTTTTGTCACCTTGCCTGTTAGAGCTTGGCTCTGGCTGACAACTGACGAATGTGTCAAACAGGTGAGCCGTCCCATTCAAAAAAAAGAGAGGAGGAGGAATAGCACGGGTGTTCAGTAGAAACAGTGAGATATTTTATAGCAGTAGCTCATACATCAAATAGCAGAGTGAGGTTGGGCCTGATGTGACCTGACAAAAAGTCAGGTCACATCAGGACTAACCAACAGGTACAAGTATTCTAATTCACAAAGAAACTATGCAGGTGACTTCTGAAGGGAGACAGTGGGATTATTTTGACATTGCAGTGAAGATGAGGAGCAGGACATCCACCTGTAGAGAACTGTCATCAGTCTCAGAAAATAGCTTGCTGTCAGCCCTGCTTGATTTACATTGCTAATCTTCCTCTGTCTATACCTGCTTTCTCTTTCTCCATTCCATGACCTCTGTCTTTTTTTCCTTCTCCTGGAGAAACCCATCGCTGCACTTGTCAATGCATTTGAGTGGCTGCCTAAATGTATGTCCATCTGGCTTAACAGCTTGTAAACCCTAACACCCACGCCCTCATAGTCTCACCCTGACACATTCCCAAAAATGCACGCTAGAAAGAAAGCAGAAAAAAGTGCTGAGGATGATGCCTCATTACTATGAAACAATATCAGGCCAGCCAGGTCAAACAGCAGATAAAGGCCTCTGGGAGCCATGTGTAATACATTAACCTCCATTCCTGTGGCTATCTGTCTTTATCTGGCCTTGATAAGCTCACTTCACAGCCCTTCAGCTTCACTAAATCATAACTGCACTGTGTTGTGTCACATTCAGTTTCCCCTCCATTTCACAAAAACTATCTATCTGCCCTGCCAGCCAGTTCCACAGCACTGGACTGCATCGCAGGGGTAATTTGTGGGAAGTGGGATGCTGTGGCACTTACAGTCTCCTCAGCCTTTATTGCAGCCTCCCACTGTGAACTACTGTTCCCTTTACTGCAGATGTGTTTTTTGTTTGGTTAAGGGGCCTCCGAGGTTTTGATATTTTTATTACCTCTCACGGGTCGTCCGTCAGGACCCGGGGCCCAGGTCCGCCACCCGGCAGGTCCCCCCCTCCCGTCATCTTACTCCGGCCACACAAAAATACTTTTGTGGGAAGAACTGAGGATAGCTGTCTGGACGTCACACTGAGCTGCACTTCAGAATAATTTAAAAGCCCCTGTTGGATCCTTTCCTTCTCCTTGTGCTTTTTTCCTGTCATCCTCATCCTGGATTACATGCTGAATCAATATTTTGTTGCTTGAGCAAAATAAACCAAATAACCACTCTCCTCCTGTTTTTGGTATATTGAATCAAATCCTTCGTAGTGTTTTTCTAGACGCATATTCGAGGTGAAAAAACGGGGCTTTGCAAATATTTCTAATTCAAGCATTCATTTGTAAAGAGCCTTGGAAAGAATAATACCCCTTCACTGTGCAGGAGTGTACTATATCAGCCTCAGGTTCCCCTTGGCTCTGATTCATGGGGGTTGGCTGAAAAATGGGAGCATTCCCTTTTGCTCATGAAATCAAGAGAAAATATAGCTTCAAATGAGGCGTTAAGTCTCTGAAGCGCTGGCTGTTATGTAAAATGAATTATGGGTACAAAGCTGGTGTGATCTCTTTTAGTGTGGCAGAAGATGCTCTAGAATGAACTTTAGTGTATAGTTTGGATCATTCCCAAAGTATATATGTGTGTGTGAGATTGTATCCACTGTGTTTTGAGGTAAGTATGCATTTTAATAGTATGTTGGTCAAGAGGAATGTTGTATTAGTTGCTGTATTTAACTGGTAAACGAGTACAGGACACACACATTTTCCTATTTATAACTGTAAAACATAAGTAAAATTACATGTGTTCTTTCAGAACTTTACTTCGCGGTATTTTGCAGGTATTATGCAGATCTAATGTGTGACTATATGTCAGTGTGTATGTGGGTGGTGAGACTTTGGAGTGACAGCCTCTGCCTGGCTCTTGGCCCCTAGCCCTGCCAACGCTGTGTAACCAGCAGCTGATTTATGGCCCCTGGAGCCCCGCTGAGCCTCTTCCTCTTTGGCCCCTAATGTTTTCCAAGCGAGGCTGGAGAAAGGCAACACTCCTCTGCTCCTATCTCCTCCATTACCTTTTTTATGGTATTTTATGGGATTTTGCTGACTCTCTTGTGCAACAATTAGTTAGCAGGTAGGGGCGGTCGGGATCTTAACCAGGGACGCTTCATTATGATGGCTAGCCAAACAGTGTTACTTCTACCCCAGGGGATAGTTCTAAAATTTAATAACACCACCAAATTTAGAAAAATAGATATTACCATTTGATAAATATAATAAAAATATGATAAAAGTGCCCATGAAGTCAGCTGCAACACCTCAGCACATTTTGTGATTTGCAGTGCAGACAAAAGTATTTAACAAATGTAAAGAGATGCAATGAAACCATTATCATTCCAACAAAAGTAATAATTAAAGCTATAGTGCAAAAAGTAACGAATTAATCAGTAAAATAAATCGTGATATGGACAGGGTAAACAGCAAAAAGATTAGCTTAAAGCATTGGAAATTGGTAAAAAAAAAAAAAAAAAGGCTATAGAAAGCGGATCAGTGGAAAGATTTAACAGCCATACAGTTGGGCGCCCTTGTAGCTCCCCTAGTTGAGCGGGCGACCCATGAACAGGGGCTATAGTCTATATATCCCACTCACGACTCTTTGCTGCAGGGCTCTCCCCATTCTTCTCCCCCCTTTCCTGTCTATCTCTACTGCTCCAAATAAAAAGGCAAAAAGCCCAAAAATATATATATATATTTAAAAAAAAAAAAACAAATAAAAAAAGCCATACAGTTGAAATAGACAGGCATTTTCTGCATAGAGGAATTTTTGGTGTACGATTTCAGTGCCATCTAAAGAGATTTTAGCTAGGGCAAAAGGAAAATCACCAGTGGCAATAATGATATGAATCTAATTTTTTTTAATTTTCTTTTTTTTTTAAATAAATTCTGTGTTGGGGTTTAATTTCCCTGAGTATATTAGATATTTGTGTTTATAACATATTTAGCAATAACTGCATAGATTTCTGTTAATTAATGTAACACAGACTTGTTGTCTCTACTGCATTCACACCAATTACACTGGGTAAAGTCACAGACCAAGCACTCTTTTTGAGTAACCTAAGCCCTGAATATATAGACAAAAGTTATGAATAAATGAGAAGTTTGGAAACAGTGTGCCTAGATAGCCACTGCAAGGAGCAGCTCACATGCAAACTTGACTGAACCGATTACTGACAATGAAATTATTTTGAAAACTATCCACTGACGACTGAGCTTCTATGGGAATGTTGACACCACATAAAACTACGTACTAAAAACTGTCATAATTATTAGTGGTAAATAACAACTAAATTTAAATAAATATATTTGGGAAATGATGGGTGTTAAACAGAGGAAGGGCTACAATAGTTTGCCTGCCAGGGATGTGGGGATTCATCAGACAGAAAAACATTTGGTACTAGTCAGCACTACTATCCACTCTAAGCCTGTCCTCTGCTGACCTGCAGGTTGTTCTGGCCGTCCAGCGTCCAGGAGGACAGTTTCTTCTCAGAGGAGCCTGATACGCCCCTCAGACGCTTGGTGTCAAAGGTCAGGCACATGACGGGCTCAGGGTGGGCTTTGACTTGGCTCAACGTGGACCTCTGAGTTACGTCCCACAGCAACAGGGAACCATCCTCGTATCCAGCCAACAGGAGAGGTCCGAGACCCGAGTCTGGCTGGAAGTGAAGGGAGGACGATAAGAGGGAAGAGAAGGGACAGCAAGACAGAAAGAGAGAATACAAAGAAGGATGTAAGTGAAGACGTGAGATGAGAGCTGTGCAGTAAAAACCACAAAAACCGCTGCGTGTTGCTGGGAGCTGAGAGGAGCAGAGGTTATCATCGTGGAAGCTCCCGCTGACACTCGGAGATACTCTGTGGGCTCCATTCGTCAGGCTGCTGCTCTCTCTTTCCGGCACTCCATTACACCACTCCTCACTTTGCTCCTCATCTATATTACTGAGGCATCGACCTCGCAGCCAGCGGACATAAATACAGCAAAGCTTTTCTTCGAGTGTAGCTGTGATTTTTAAACCTGTCTTTATGCACTGTTTAATTCATTTTTCCCCTCTTTAATGTAATAATTTTCTATTATTTTAATATTTTTGTATTGAAATTTGCTACTATTATGCTACTCAATTTCCCATACTTTTCAGATCTGCAGTCGATTTTTTAAAACGGTTATTTATTCCTAATATTGAGACTAAAAATTCTGCCACAGGTAGTTTTAATAAATAAAATCTAAATAAACATTGTGTGTGTGTGTCTGTGTGTGTGTGTATATATATATATACACACACACACATATATTCTGAGAGAAGAAGGTGAAATTAAATTGTCCTACAACAACTGAGGCTGTAACTAAGATTTAAAAAAATAACTATACACAGTAAAATATTAATGAATAATTCAGTCTAGAAAAATGTTATCAAAAAGAAAATGTGCCAAGGGGCACCTTCAATTGTTTTGCTTGTCCTACGCTCTGCTTGTTTTTTAAACCAAAAACAGTAGCAAACTGTCACAATTAACCACCGAATTATTTGTGTTTAATGATAATTTTTTTGTGATTGACAAATAAAGCATAGAGCTGAAGCACTTACTTTATCATATAGTTCCCATTCTAAAGCAAACTGGTGTGCAACAAAAAAAAACCCACACTACGTAATCTTGCTTCATCCCCCGTTCACCTCCAGGCATTGCAAGATCCAGCCTCAATGTTTACAACTGGTGAAACCATCAGAGTAAATCTTTCAAATCACATGAAATGAAATGTAACCAGGTGCATAAACAGGCATCTGACACAAAATGTCTGGTAAACATATATAGAGCAACCTGTAGCAAGCACAAAATGCAGTTTCATGCATACTAAAAGAGCAAAGCAAACAGTTTAACATTTAAAAAGAAGGATAAAGCAGTACATTCCACTGCTGGAAGTCACAGATAAGACCTCAGTTCTCAGCTGGCTTCCTTTACGTATGTGTGTGTTTATGATCAAACAGGCGCAGAGTTTGTGTGGAGGGATAGCTGAGATTGTAAATCACTTTTGTGAATAAGAACATAAAGGTGAGCTGATAAAAAGTAGCTGCCATATATATATGTTTGCACTGCTGGAGGGTAGAAGAGAAGGGAAGGTGGAGGAACAGAAAAAGGAGGAGGGAGGGACATTTTACCGTCATCCTGCTTTCCTGAAATCCTCATTTCTTCTGTGTACATATATGAAACACAGTGCCACTTACTACCTTAAACACTCCCCTTCAAATCCACAACTGCCTGGAGTGTTATCCAAGCAAGGATTTGAACTTTTCCCAGCTCAAAAGACATCACACTGGATGTGAAAGGGCAAAATACATTACAGGGACCGATTAATATACGGATATTCACTATACACTGACTCATGCCTTTGCTTTAAAATACCACCAGGCACCCAGAAATAGCACAGTGCCATGCAGAAGCTAGGAGGGAAAGAAATTTTTTCCATATGTGCAAGGAGGCCATTTTTCATCCATCTTCAAGTCCTCTTCTCACTTAACGCTTTATATTTCTCTTCTTCCAGCTTTAAACAAATTATAGACAGAGTCGTGTATTCCTTCCAAACACATCAGTGAGGACGAACACTAAGGGATTATGAAAACAAATAAAAACAAGTGAAAATCAGTGGCCCCTGCTTGCCGGCAGGGACCTGGCTAAGCGTTCCAGGATTGGGGCCCACTGTTTCACTTAAGTATAGGACCTCCTTGATTGATGATGTCATGGGTCAGAGGTCAGGGAACCCTGGGTAGACACCTAATTCATTATATCCTCCACAGGCCTTTCTACAAGAGGGCTCTCTGCTGGAGTGGGGCTGGGGCTCTGGGAGGAGATTCATCACCAAACAACAGCTGGAAAGACAGATGGAGGCTGGTTGGAGAGGCAAGACCAGTGGAATAGACCGGGTCCTCTCAAGAACGGCAACTAGTTTGGGTTTTTGGGGTAATAGTCACGTGATTTTCTGCCATGCTTTCAGAGCTGCAGGACATGTAACGAAAGGCATAATGTAGTGAACTAACTAACTGAACTAATAAAGGCATGCAGGCTGCAAGCTCCATTTTAGGACAAGTAGGCAATGTCCAGTAGTGTTGTAGTATTCAAGATCGGTCTTGGTCTTTTACTTGCTCTTTCCAGTCTCATAAAAAGAGGACTCTGGCTTGTATTTTCAACATCAGGCAAGACTACAACTGTGGTAATATCATTACATTTCATGAGAATTGTCATTGTTATTATCATCATCATTGTGTCCGGATGTAAAACTTTACTGTTACTGTTACTCTGTGGCTGTCTGGGAGGAGATGCCAGACAAATCTTGTGCTAAAACTTTGCTATCTAAAGCACAAAGATTTAATGTGCCAGCTAGCATTCCAAAAAACACAGGAGTGTATAAATTTAGCAAAGCAATGCTTAAAGAGAGACACATCAACATTTTATCAGCCCTTTAAAAAGGGGGTTTAAGTGATGCCAGTAAAGTTAGCTGGCAAATGTAGTCCTAAGAAATGTAGAGTTCATTTGTAAAAATGGATAACTCCATCTTCACAAACCTTCAGAAAACCCACTTTTCTATCGTCTCAGACAATATCAAACTTTCGTTATCTCTATTTTTGTCATGTCATTTCTACGGAGTCAAATCCCTCAACTTCCGTTTGATTGACATTATCGCAAGCAAACAACAAAATAAGTTTTCTAAAAAAAATCTACAAAAATGGAGTTATCTGTTTTTGCAAATGAACTCTTCAAATATTTTCATCAATCTAAATCTGGAAGATTCAGCAAATATTAGCCACACCTATTGGCTACCTATGTATATACTGTATGTTTCAGAGCAGTAGTTTCATGGGTGCGATGCAATGTGGTTCCAGCTTTTCACTTTTTATCTTAAGTGTGTCATCCTGTGTAAGATTTGCACTTGTCTGATCTTGGTTTTGACTTGGTCTCACCCCCTCAAATCCTTGAGATGCATTCCCACATCCAAACTACCATAGTATAGTACGCCAGAATAAGATTTAGTATGTCCCAAAACATAGTATGTTAAATGAAGTATGGCAAAAATACCAGGATGCCTTTCTATGTACATCTGGTCTCATTTTGTAATATGCATGCCAGCATGCTTTTCTGGCCATTCTGACCCACAATCCTCTGCACAGCAGAAGATACGTCACATACATCACGGTGTCTCGCTCCAGTAACAAGCTTGAACCTACGAGAGCACACAGACAGGTGATTTAACACTGCAGACAGCAGCAGCTTTATGAGCGAGACTGGCAAAGCTTAAGGTGCAATGTTATGACAAAGGAGTATCAAACTGTATGCATACTACATGGAACAGTATGTACTTTATTAGGGCAGCTGCAGAATGTGTTGAAACAAGAAAAAGGAAGAAGGATGTATTTTGTAAAGCAGGGTTGTTCTTGGTTCAGGTGGTCTTGACAACAACACTAGTGTCCAGTCTGTCCATCACTGTGGTTGTTTTCACCACCATCATCCAGTTTGAAGAATTAATCTTTGGGAGGTTTTGTACTTTAAATCTTGTACATAAATTTGGTGAGAACATTTAAAATCTCCCAGCAATTACAGATGACTTTCACAGCTTACTAATGTATATATTTTTTCTGTTAGTGTATTAACAGTTTGATCCTGTAAAACAAAAAACAAAACAAAAAAATCTGACAAATTCATAAAACCTAATGCGTCATCATCAAACCAAAAGATAATTGTTTTTTATTACCAAGTCAAAAATAAAGCTGCAAACTCTTAAATTTTAGAAGAACAAATGATGTAATAATTTCTGTTGATCAGCTAATTGTTTAAGCTCCATTTTGTGCCATTCATTAATTCATACAAAAACATGTTTTTCATATTGCTCAACCTCATCATTTCAGATTCAGTCAAATCGTACCACCAAGCAGTGAGCACATTTTCTAGACTAGACACACTTCAAAAGCTAGTTGTTCACTGGAAGTCATGAATCTGAACTCAAAGTAATTCTTGTGGAATTTTCCTTATTTTTAGATTTTTAGCCAGCTAAGTTTTTCCAGTATGCATGCCCAACAAGAAGAGTTCAAATTTCAGGCATCACACAAAAGACCAAAGATTGTCCCAATAATAAAGTGAAGTTTGTCTGACATCTCAGGCCTGTAGGCAGATGAAATCACTGTGCTGAGAGAGTTTCTCCATTGTGTAGAGGATGATGGCTGTCATGCTCAGGATGAAGAGAAAAGCATAGTTGCATCCTTACAGCAGTCCAGATTGGTTTATGGCAATGATTTGAGACATATGAAACAACAATGGTATGTAATTTTCTAACTTGACTTAGGTCAATGTTGTCACTGTTTGTTTCCGAACTTTGAAATCAAGTCAAATTTGTTCTTATCATTTTTGTGTCATGACCAACAAAGATACAACTTTTATCAGTGCTTTATATGTCATGTTAACGTTATGATAGCCCCATATTTATTTAGAGAAGAGGTACAAGGTGTATTATAATTTTCTTACTTACTTATTGATTGCAGTAAATACGTATATCATACGTTTAATTTTACTTGATTTTTTTATAAGAACTGCCCAAAACAACTTAAGAAAATAATCATTTTTTATATTTTCACTATTTAATATGCTCTAGTCGTATCAAAAATAATCCAAAACTCGAGAAAAATATTTAAATTCAATTAGAGGGAAATATGTGTGTGGCAACATTGAATGTATTAAATATGCTATGTAATTTCCTTGTAATTCAAGCTAAAATCATGAACAAACTTGTGACAACAGCTTGTTTTCTGATGTGGCCGCCATGGGCCTCAGGCAGGCACCGCTTAAACATAAGGAACCAATTGCTTCCCTTCGGTTTTCGTCCCGGTCCCACCATGATGTCATGGCCACGAGGCAGCAAGGTGATGAGCTGAGAGTGATGGATATCTGTATAGGAACATTTCCTTTTCCCCGCCAGCCTCTGTTCACATTAAAAGCCTTGCACATCATACATCACCACTGTCCCCCTGGCCAATCCTGACATCCTTGCACAAGTCAGACCCACATGTGGGGGCACTTTCTTCCTCCTCACACTCTCCATTGTTCACTGCTTCACAGCCGATCAGAAGCAGATAAATCAGGTAATAAGCTTTGTCACCTTTCAGACATGGCCCAGCATATGAGGCAAGGCCCTGGTGGGAGGCTGAATTGAGAAGAAAGTGCTATTTAACACTGCATATAATCGTTTCCATAAACTCCTGCAGAGAGGTCCTAAAGGCTGACAATAAATCTGTTGGTGAGTCTGTCTTAGAAATAAAGAAGGATAATCACTTCTCATCTCAACGGTGGGAAGAAGAGAGGGAGCGATGGTGAGAGGGAAGACAGAGAGAAGAGATAATTGTCAGTGGCTTCTTCCTGGAGTGCGTGTGATAGAGAGACAGGGTGGAGAGAGGGGATGGCTGTGTCAGCTGCTGCCTCCCGCTGTGTGAGGTGAAGGAAACAGCGGGCCGTGTATAAGCATTTGATGAGAACGACAAGATGAATTTTATTTTTCTTGTGACTGACAGAATGTGTGGGTCTCCAACTCGCCTGTAGTGAGTGAAAGAAGGGTTTATACACATGCACAACAGCACACACGGATTGGGTTTTCAGTCTCTTCCCAGTGCTTGGACCTCTCGAGTCGCTCAGACAGCCTAACAGATGAACATGCCTCGGCCTTGAAAGGAAGCAGCCTGAAATGATTTACAATCACCTGCGCCCTTCGGCTTTGAAGTCAGACAGCTGCCTGTGCTGTATTACAATGATATTATATAATTTATAATGATATAATTGATCATTATGTTTCCTGGCACTCAACGCTGAGCCAGCGTTGCTTCATAAATCAGATGATGAAAGGTGGGTGCAACAGTGAAATCAAAGGGAAACAAAGAAAAACACAAACACAATGTCAGCAGGCACTGAAACTCTAACTTGTCTACATCTCTCTATAACAATATCACACACACGATGGCACCTGTGCAGGAATAGAGCATTGAATGTGCACGGGCCAGCAGTTTGCCTCGGGTTCAGAATGTTAAGTTCTGTTTTGATTTCTGTTGCCTGTAAACTACACAGCCCATAAAATGTACGCAAACCATCCACAGTTTTGCAATCTGAAAACCTCATTCAGAACTCCCCAAAGCCCCAAACCCATAGAGATAATAATTAACTATAAAAATAATTACAGGGTTAAAATAAAAGTTTCGACATCATTTACAAAACAGAAAGCTAACTTTTTGCCCAGATCAGATTGGATGTACAGCTGCAGGCTGATATATGGCTGTGAACCCCCGGCCGTTCCTAACACTCTAATAACAGTGTTGGAGCTCGCTGCCAGCTGAGTAGAAACGCTTGGAAAAATGGCCCAGGACAAGTTGTTGGGCTGTAAATCATGTGCCATGTCTCACAGTTGCATTTTTGTTAACTTTCTATTATTGTATCGTTTCGTGGGCTGCTGGCCAATCTCAGTAAGGCAGATAATAACGCAGGCAAGCGTAGAAAAACTACCATTTAAAACAAATTATAATAAAGGCCAAATGAAAGCGTTCATAATCTGCTGGTTGTCACAGTGAACTTGCTGAACTTGTCATGTAACATTCAATAACACAGTAATGTAATATGTTGATGCAAATACGAAAGCGTTACCACAGCAAAACCTAAAACATCAGAAAAAGTAGCGTAATAATGGATGGCAGAATACTGAAATTACATCTAATTTTAAAAAATAATTTCTTTAAAATATTTCATCAAAAAAACATTTAAAACTAAAAATGTCTTGCCAAAATAAAAAATAAAAAAATAGAAATTTGAAGGAGCGACAGCTAGGATTTAGGAATGGCGAGCCACCATTCCTAAATTATTGTAGAGGAAACACTGTGACACTCAAGTCAGCGTACCTATCAGTGTGGTGTTTTGCCAAGTTGAACATGTTGGCTTGACTAATCTGCAAAAATCAAACATAATGTACAGACAGACTGTGTTGTCCATGGACTCACCCTGATTGTCAGCTGTGAGAAAATTAAGACTATGTTTTGCTTTGTGCATCTACTCTGTGGACAGTTTGTGAATTGTCAACCAGAGCAATTGTTCTGCAGCCATGTCTCTCATTTTGTATACACGAAAACTTCTGCAGTGTGTGTATGAGAGAATAAAGAAGCCGCTGGCATGTCTGCTACGCCCGCTACCCATGCCATGCACACACACACACTACTGTTCAACAGTTGAGGTAAAAACAACAACATTTCTTAAAATGGTACTTAAAAAAACTTCTTAGGCTTACCTGCCACAATTTCATACACATCACCATTCCCAGTTTTCCTTCTGGTACCAGGGAGCACACTGGGGTCTTACTGGGGAGCTCAGTGATCTTGATCTATGAAGAACATGTGACAATTAGATCTAAAACTTAATATAAATGGCAGAAGCTGCTCACAGATATTTCAGTCACACTTGCATCTCTGAGCTTTGAGCTAAATGCTAACATCCCCATGCTAGTGAACTCACAATCACAATGCTAACATGATGATGTTACAGGATTCACCCTCTGGAAATCATGAATGTCTTGTTGGTATCCATCTTTTGGCTCTGCAGATATCTAACTGAACAAGTGCATGCAATGAAGATCGTAAGTCAGGGCATCACCAAAGCCAGTGTTCTTCACCCACTGGGAACCACGAATATCTGTACCAATTTTATTGCCAATCCCTGTCTAGTCATGGATTTAACCCCTAAAATCTCATCTCTTTGTTTTTTGCCAAAAGAAAATATTGCATTTTTGCATGAAAAGTTTAAGGCCATATTTACACATAGCCGGGTATTTACAAAAACGGATCTACGTTACAGTCAAAATATTGACTGTAAAACGGTAAACATGGGTCACACACATATGACACTTTTGTTGCATACTGTGACATCAAACTCTGTTGTTTTTCCAAACCACCCCTTTGCCCAGAGTTTTCAGATATGATCGTTTTCAGTGACTTGTAGCTTCGTTTACGCCCAAACACATTGAAAAACCACTGTTTTTGCTACGTGTAAACTGGAGCTGAAAATGTAACTTTACACTGTTGTTTTCTCTAGAATATGGCAATCAACAGAGTCCCTGCCTCTTTCTCCACCCACCTCTTCATAGCTCGCTGCAGCTCAAGCACACCAGCTCACCTATGGCTCTGCTCAAATACTGTAAAACTATTCTGTGCTTCACACTGGCAACTTGTAATTTTGGAGTAATTTAGCCATACATGCTTGAAATTGATTCTGAAGAATACAGAAAGCTCCACCCTGCAAGTTAACTGGATTGGTTCCCCTCAGGTTTGTCACATATGAAACAACGGAAGTCTGAATCTGTGTTTGTGAGACTTTTTAAGGTGTAAATGCTCAACCATGGCATTGACTGCTTTATTTGCTCATGATATATTTTCCAGCATATGAAAAAACAGCATATGGACATGTTAAATACAAGGCAAAATAATAATAATAACAGAAGACATTTGAATCTGAATAAAATGGCAGGCCAGCCCCAAGAGCCACATCAGCGGTATGGTTAAAAAGACGGTATATACACATTTCAAGTTGTCCTTGATCTTCTCCTCTTTGTTTCGGAAATGTACCCATTAAATCCTAATGTATTTTTGTTTTCATTATTGGGACAAAGTTCCATATACACACAAATTCCAGTTGTACATGTATATGCCTGCTGGCTAACTGCAAAGTCACAATTTGTCCGTCTTCCGAATTCAAATAACAAAGCTGCAACCTGAATCTGTCATTATTTTTTAGGAGCTCTGTGTATCAGAGTGCCTCCAACCAGCAGTTCAGTGCCATCCATCAGTGCAGAGCAGCTGCCCCACTGTCTATAATACATCCTGCTAAAGCCTGATCCTGCGACATGAGTGGTGTTTTCCTGCACACATTGGCACTGATTCTGATCAAAAATACACTGCCTAATGAAGCCAGTGATAAAGTGCACGCTGGTGTGTGTGCGTGCCCACACCACTACCGAAACTCATTGACTCATTTCAACTTCCTCTGTGCTGATGATCCACATATTCATCCTCATTAGGCCTCAGATTAAACAGCCCTTTAAGGGAGTGATCTGTATTTTAGCGCTAGGCCACATCTGTCCTGCATGTTTACCTCTGCGTGCCTGACAAAGAGGGCCTTTAAGGACTTCTCTGTGCCTCAGGTGATCGCTGTTCTTGTGTGGCATCAAACTGCCCATAAATAAAACACCCACACTATTAATTAATGTTTCTGCCACAGCAGCAATGTTGGCAGGAATCTCACTGTGAGCAGTAAACAGTAAAACCACCTGAAATAGCTCAGAAGGAAATTGTTGTCTGTTTTCTTGGTTACATATCCAAATATTGACCTCTATTTTGCCAACGGCACTATATCATGCCATTGTGCATGCTCTGTGGTAAGTCCCTATTTATTGTTTCTTGGGGGAATTCATTTATGTGGGTGTTTTACTTGCAGATGCATGATAAGCATCTGTCTTGGCCAGTTATGTCTGTGGAATGGGGTGGAGAGACCAAATGACAAAATCGGCTGTGCCCTGTTTTGGTCTGCCTTTTATGGGTGTGTAGGTGTGTTTCTGTCTGTGTCTGTTGGGACAATGGCATTATTGAGGTGCTGGGAGTCACAGGCGCCTTGATGCCTGGCCTGCTGGACCGGGGTTAGCAGAGGCACGTTTGGCTGGATCAGGTGACCGCTCTGTCCCTTTCAAGTGTGGCTCCTCCACAGCGGAGCAAGTAACATGAATCTGGAGGCAATAAAAGATGGTTGAATAGCTGGCTGCCTTCTCCTCATCCTACCTCACCACTCAGACACTAACTCCACACAAAACCATACAGCCTTGTGGGTGAGAGCTAACTACATAACAGAAAAAATTGTGATTTCATTCATGTGCAACCAAGACTTTGATTTCTCTTTTTAACCCACCAGTCCAAAATTAGAAATGCAAACAGCCACTTTGATTATTTCTTCAGTCAATTTAACTGTAGAAGTAGGAACGTGTTCATTCGTTTTGAAAAACACAACTAAATTTCTGTTCTTAGGCCCTCTCAAAGCTATTCAGCGTTTTAGACAAAAGCTTTCACTGAACGGCACATTACTAACCACAGCCAAAATTAACTGACCTTTAGCCTCTGGTTGGTATTAAGTTCCTGTCCTTGCAATGTGCATGCTGACTCATGACACGAAGGATGGTCTGTTAATGATGCCATTTAGATTTCTTGACAGTTCCTGGCTGCAAACTGCATGCTCATATGACACATTGGCTCACGACAAACTCCCTGACGCTACTCGACTGGATTCGAGACATTTATGGGTCAGATCAACTGTAATAGATCACAGCAGTGTCATAATATGGAACAATGACAGGACTTTGAAGTGAGAAAACATCTCCTTCTGTGGAGCACAATCTTCCACTAACACACTAAACAGTGCTAAAAGCCACAAATATGTGTCAACGCTCAAAGTCAATTGAGCGAACTGGCAACAGCAAGTCTGGTCAGGTTCATACAGGCTGTTTTTTTTATACTCAGCTCAGACTGTTTAACCAATTAACTTGCCCACCTCCCACCTCTCACCTGCCAATAAATTCAAAGGTTACCTCCAGCTGAATACAGAATGTGTTCCAGTTAATAATTCAATTTGGACGGTTCCCAGTTAGTTTCCAGAAGGAGAAATTAAAATCTACTGCAGGTTAAAAAAGCTTAAAAAATGAGCCACACACTGTTGCAGTATAAATCAGTTCACTGGCTGTCAAAGGAAAGGTTCTTTTACCCTGAATTTAACAATGAAAAAGCAAACACAATGTGTTGACTCTCTAATAAAATCTGACAAGTAAGCATGCATATGTATTGTCATTATTTTTTATATATTATTAGAATAAAATTTGCTGAAAAGTAAAAATCAACAGAAAACACAGAAACCTTTCAGCCTTGACAAATGAAAAATAAGATTCCTTCAAACAGTTTTTAGTGCTTACATAAGCCTTTATTTTAAAGGTTTCTACTGTTGATGTCTCACCTCCTCTGTCTGTTGCCCAGCAAAGGCCAGCAGGTATTTGGAAGGGCTCATCTCCAGCACGGAGCACTGACAGAATCCAACACTGCCAGTCCACACAGAGTCCAGCAGCTCACTGCGACCTTCGCTCAGATCCCACAGACAGACCTGCATGTCCCGTCCCTGACTGCTCCACCAACAGAGAACAAAAGCAGACAAAAGCTGGATATTTACATTAAAAATTTGAGAATGACACTACATGACCGATTGTTACGTCGAAGTGTGTGATACCGAATGCTTTTCAATATAAAGTTGTTATATTACAAGAAGCTCTTGTTATTAAAATCAGGCAGAAGCAACCAAAAATCTGTGTAAGTGTAACCGAATATTTGTCGTCACAGCACTGTGCCTGACATTTCGCAGTGTTTTGGTTTCAGCTTTGACAAATCTTACATTAGAGTGGGTTATTTTACATGTACACATTGTGTTAAGAAATTAACAATGTGCATGCAACTGACACAAAATGTAATGTTTAAAATGTATTATTTAGTGATAAAAGGTGCAGAGAAAAATTTGGAGTGCAGTGAAAATCTCCCATAAAAGCAATACTACATATACCCTTGTCGTGGTAAGACAAGAAAGAGCAAGACATGCTATTAGAAAGTTAAGAGAGAGTTACCTGATTAGTGTATCTGTCGACTGCAGTGTGCTGACGCAGATGATTGAACTACCAGAGTGACCTTCTATTATCTTCGCAGCCCTCCTGCTGTTCAGGTTCCAGATATGGATGGCACCCTGCCCTGACCTGCAAAACCCAAGCAGTTGCTTTACAAAGGCCCCTCACTGCTCACACGGTACATAAAACACTATAGTCTACACTGCTCTGCTCTCATCAATTGAAAGAAACTACCAAAAATGATAAGATTTGCCAAAAAATAAATAAATACAGAAATACTGAAACTGTTGTTGTGTCGTTTTAAGATCTGTTCTTACACATCCACACTCTGACTTGATTGGTACTTATCACACACAATAAGACAAACCTGTCTACTTGATCATGAAGCTTGCGATGGACTTAATTCATAAGATCTTCACGGTTTAAAGAAGATGAAGAGCCTCAACATAACTCACCCAGAAAATAGAAGGGGGGTTCCCTCTTCATGGCAGCTGAAGTGGAGGGTGTTAAGGGGGCCACCAGCACCTCTTAGGGTATAAATGGGAGGCGGAGCAGGACGAGACATCCCTGGTCATGCAATTAATGTGTGGATGCAAGATGGCTGTAAACCAGCGTCATCGCAGTCACTGCAAGAGAACATGCTATTAAATGTCCATGCAACACGTAAGGCGGTGACAACAGTTAAGTTGCATAAAGAGTTTCTGCACAAAAACTGTCAACAGGTCGCACAGTTTCTGCAAAAGTGTTTTCCATTTAAAACAGGTTAACTGGACTGTTCAAGAGGATTACAAGAAGGTATGCTTAACGAGTAAAATCATCAGGAAAGTAGTCATCTCATTTTGTTTTTGCACAAAGACTTAGCAGAGTCTGTCAGATAGAAGCTTCATTTTGCCTTCAAGCCTTTCTCTTCCACACGCAGACAGTTGTGTTTAATTCACTGTCTGTATTTTCTCTATTGTTAGTAGCTACAACCCCTGTGGCTCTCTCTCTCTCTCTCGCCCTCTCTTTTTCTTCCTCCTTCTAGTCTACATGATAACACCTCTCTTACTCAATACGTCATAAATCACAACCTGTGACAGCCTAATTACAGTAAACAGACGGAGATTCAGGCTTCTCCCTCCTCTTGTGATCAACAGCCGTTGTCCCAGAGGCAGAGGCAACAGCTCAGGCTTTTATGTCGTTTGTAGGCTGGGCAGGTGAGGAAACCAAACCAACCGCAGGTATGCTGCGAGGAAATGATGCCTTAACATTAAATTGCTGTACAACTGCATGTGAGTGTCTCTTCGTGAGGAAGCTGCACAGATAATATCTTCTATCAATCACTAAACCTGCGTGTTTAAAATCGCAGCTGGTTTAAACCTATTTATGCAAATACGCAATGAAATAGAACTTATTTATATGACAATTCCACAAGATCTTTGAAATCATAAAGGCAAAAGCACAGTATGGACAAAAGCAGCTTTAGGCTAAGGTTTTACGCATGTGAGATGTTTAGATTTTATCCACCAAGCAATACCATCGAGGAGGTATCTGATCGGTCACAAATTTATTCTGCAGGCCCAAACACACAGCCCGAGTCATAAAGAACTACCAGCCACAACAAGCATCCTATAACAGACTGTATGGCCTCCACAGAATCATGATGTCACCATCATGGAGTCAGAAACAACTGAGATAGCCTCAATCCAAAATAGCTGTGGCTCGTTCTCCAAGATGCTTTGAGTCTGGAAAACTGTGTGCAAGTGAACCTGGGAGAACTGGTGACTGTCTTAAAAGCAACAGCTGCTCCACAAGACTGACTTCATGTAGTTTTTATGTTAACTGATGAGTAAAATGTTTTCACAGCATCCCCAGGTCCTCACAAATACCTACAACCTTTACATACTGTCCTATATGCAGTGGTTAATAAACAGAACCTCACCCCCACCAACTCATATTCTCCCCCCTCCCCTACTTTTACTTATCATAACCCTTGCTCTCCGCAATCAGCAGACACTGAAACTGGAGCCCAAGGCATTCAGGAGCCGCTCGTTTCAGGAGGTTAGTGGTTAAATTGTCCATGTGAATCTGTGGAGCGGAGAGACAGAGACCCCTGACCAGCCTGCCTAATTAAGCACACAACACTGCAGTTGGATGGTCTCACAGGGACACGATCAGCCCACCAGCCCCACTATGAACTTACTATGTACTATATGCACTAGATTTTGCAAAATGGCATGCACTTCAGATAATTTTAAAGACAGCACCAACACCCCCACAAATATGTAAAATAAACAAAGAAATATAACAAATACAACATATTTGAAATGGTTCCAAGCATATGTCTGTTTAAGATGATGACCATTATGTATCAGACCAATCTCTGAACTGAACCAACAGGTAAGCCTTCAGCCAACAACTGTACAAACTTGTTTTCGTGTGGTATGAAGAAAACAGTGGTTTTGTGAGGGTCTATCAGTTAAGCTGCTCCTCCTGTGAATGGGTGGGTAAGGCTGCATTCCTGAGCCCAATCCTGCGCCTGTGTGAGTGTGTGACAGGGGTAGGCTCACCCTGATAACAGGTGGATTAAGCGTCCCTTATTGTCCTCTTGCAGCAGGCCTGCACTGAGCTCTGAGTCACGGATACAGCAGCCTGAAACTGGTTGTTTTCATTGTCGAAAGACCAGTGGCTGTAAGAGTTTCCACTGGCAGTCACAGCTTGCTGTCAATCAAAGACAACAGTGGGGGACAGTGATGGAGACACACACGGCTCAAGAACTGCAAAACTGAGCTTATATGTATAAAGTAAGTATAATGGCCACTTTCCCCTGCTACTAGTTCATCGGTGGAACTTTCTGTTTTCCAAGCATCAGCATTTCCAGTCACCGAACTGCCCCCAACAATGGGTCGGTTGTTGTGGCTGCAAGTGAGTCACCCACAAACCCAAACACAAACATGCAGGCAGCTCAGGAAGGAAAAGACAGCTGCAAACAAACAAGACGGTGGCAGGATGTCACTCAAATGTATTTGTAAGTACCCTTACATTTTTCTACGCTCACGAAGAGAGACAGCAGAGCAAACAGTCAGACCCATCATTTTGTCAAACTAGTATTTTTCCACATCAAAATATATCTAAAGTAACTGCAAATGTACTTTACTGGTCCAGTTGTAGTAGGAGACGCTGCAGCTGTGATTTTCTAGTTGAACATCCTCAAGGACAATTACCTTGTTCTCTCCTAAATTTACTGCATTAGTTTTAATAAGAAGCCCTTGTGAAGTGATTGGACAATAGATAATAAAGAACCCAACAGGTCAGTAAATTTCTCTGTGCTGCTCAGTCTTCTTATTAAACATGTCCACATGAAAAAAATCTCAGATTTACGGAGCAGCTTAACTAGTTGAGTCCAATTAAACCTGCGTGTCGTGGACGAGGTACAATAAATCAGGCTGACTGATTAATATACCCGAGTTGAATATGAGAGCCAGCGGGAAGAGGCAAGAGAGGAGGACTGAGGCTCCTGCTGGCCCTGTAACAGATAAGACAGCTCTGGGTAATCTGACTCTAAGTCCATGGATAAAGGCAGTTTGTCTCTTCTTGGGCCGTCTGTCCACACCTACGGGGTAATTAGGCCTAATTATGAGAGAAAGGTCCGCTTCCCCTTCATGTTATTAAATAAGAGCCAGCCTCGTCCGCCAAGGATCTCTCAACACCAGCGAGGGGCTGGCGACCTTCAGATCAAACACAGCCACTATCTGTGCCCCCCCTCGACCGCAGCACCCGTTCCCCTCGTCGGCATCGCTGCACATATGAGGGCTAGAGGAGGGAGGGGACGGAAAGGTTATGATATGGGGGCATCAAAGTTTTTTCTGACTAGAGGTGAGAGGGGAGTCCTGTCCACATTCCTCGCTTCGTGCATGTGTATCATGTGATCAGCAGCTACCCACCTGAACTGCCCCCTTGTCAAATTCTGCCATTCATAAATAAGAGCAGGGAGGGAGAGATATACTGATCACAGAGGTTTATTATAGAAGCTTTATAATACTCCAGCTTCACAGGAGCCATTATAGAGGCATGGGATCCCAAGATCCTGTGCCTTGATATCAGCCTCATCAAATATGAGATCTGAGCTGCATGATGAAAACCCAAAGTAGATTACACATAACTCAAAAGCGCCATTCTAGATATGCCTTCCAATGAAAAACCAACTTTATAAGCCATCATACTGATAATTTTTTTTTCTGGAACATCTTTGCCAACAATTTGTTCAAAAAAAAAAAAAAGAGACCCTAAATCCGACCAAGATTGCTACATCATACCTCAGCTATTAGTCATTCTGCTGTTTATCAAAGGCAGCGGTCTTATCTGCTGTTTCCCTGCTTTTCAACGTCTAGCCACGATGGCATTTCCACCTCGCTGGCTGGTCAGTGGGTGGTGAGCTGCTTCTACGACCATTAGTCAGCCCTTCTGGCCTCCCCCTCCCCCAACCAATACAGGTCCTTCTGAGAAGGAAGCCAATGTGCCAAATAGAGAGCAAGGTCTATTATTAAAGTCCAGTTAGAAAAACAGCACGGGAAGTGGCAAGAAAGACACACACCCTTTATTGTGTCTTGGTGGGGGTATCTGGACTGGACAAACAGCCTAGCGTCAGATAGAGGTTGAAGTCAGACACAAGTGCACCAACACCCACTGTCAGTCACAGATCCAATGAGCGGGAAGAGGTAGCATTGTTCGCGTGAATGGCGTGAATGCTAAGCAGGGGCCATTGCAGATAAGGGCTCAATGCCTTGTGGGTGTCATTGAGGCAGGCACTGATGGAGCACTGTGTCAGAGGGTCCTGATTTAGGAGGTTCTGACTGTGGTCAACAGGTACCAGGAGCCTTATCTGTTTGCATTATCACCCATTTCCTCCATGAGGTCATTTACCTGGGCACGAGAGGACAAAGGGACACAAGAGGGTCGACAGCTCGAGTGTCATCACACATCACCATGCATTTTGGGTGTGATGGCCTTCAGATATGTGGGGATTTTGCTGTCATTACAGCAAAGATATGACAACAAGAAAATGTTTATTGTGCTGTAATCCCATGAAGACATCATGCAACAGGGGATAAAGACAGCAGGAAACAACAAGATGTTACACTTTGTCAAACAGCACATCCCCCACTGTTTCAGCCGTCAGTCATCTTCAGGGGCATGATGAGTGACTGCACGGTGGACTAATCAATGGATGGTGAAAAGTTTGACAGAGCGTCAACTATTTTTACACAGTGAACAACTTCTAGAGTTCAGCCAGAACTCTTCTATCAAACCTAATAAGTTAAACAAAAGCTAATTTACAACACCTGTCTCAGCTGCGCATCTACAAATGATCATAGTAGAGATGGTGAGCTAGATGTAGGATGTCCAAAGTGGAGTTTCACAACTAAAAACCCCCCCAGTGCGTCTCTCGAAGGCTTTGAAAATCTTTAAATGGGCTACTATAATATATTAAAAAACATATTAGAAAATAATACAAAACAGAAAAGACTTCAAACTTGATAAATCTTTATGCACACTTGAATGTGCTTAAAAAGTAAACAATTAGAGGATATATGTCAGCCTTCGTCATTAGCAGTACATGCAAAACATAAGGAGA